TTAAAGCAAAAATTCTAAATGCCAACTCAGCAACAGGCTTGAAAAGCAAATATCAAGTTTTGCTGAAAGTAATTACCAAAAATCCATTTTCCTTCTACGTTCTAAGAAACAACGTCTGATCCTCTGTACGTTTTCCTCCTGCTAATACAACTGTAGCGAAGCCAAATAGCTGGGCCTGCAGGTCCTGAGACAAATCTAGTGATTAAGAGGCAAACAGTGTCTGTCATCCACAGTGAGACTGTCAGCTGAAGCAGGATGAGACTGAACGTTCTGTTCCCTGAGGTGATGGAGAAAGGCTGGACGGGGGTTTAAGTCATTGAACTTTTTAATCTGAAGTGAAAATATTGACATACATTCCTATGAGTACGCAGAATCAGAGGAAGTCCTGTCAAGAAACATTTACCACCACTGACATTGGAAGGCTTTCAACACTTACTTTTCTTAACTGTTTTTGAGCTGAACCCAACAGCAATCAAACTACAAAACTGAGGATTGACTGAAAATAACATGCATAGACAGACAGACAGACAGACAGACACACAGACAGATAGACAGACAGACAGACAGATAGACAGACAGATAGACAGACAGATAGACAGACAGATAGACAGACAGACAGACAGGCAGAAAGATAGATAGACAGACAGACAGATAGACAGACAGATAGACAGGCAGACAGATAGACAGACAGATAGACAGGCAGACAGATAGACAGACAGGCAGACAGACAGATAGACAGACAGACAGGCAGACAGATAGACAGACAGACAGATAGATAGACAGACAGACAGGCAGACAGATAGATAGACAGACAGACAGACAGACAGACAGGCAGACAGACAGATAGACAGACAGGCAGACAGATAGATAGACAGACAGACAGACAGATAGACAGACAGATAGACAGACAGACACACAGACAGATAGACAGACAGACATACAGACAGATAGATAGATAGACAGACAGGCAGACAGACAGACAGACAGACAGACAGGCAGACAGACAGATAGACAGACAGGCAGACAGATAGACAGACAGGCAGACAGACAGATAGACAGATAGATAGATAGACCGACAGACAGACAGACCGACAGACAGACAGATAGACAGATAGATAGACAGACAGATAGATAGACAGACAGGCAGACAGACAGATAGACAGACAGGCAGGCAGACAGAAAGACAGACAGACAGACAGATAGATAGATAGATAGATAGACAGACAGATAGACAGATAGACAGATAGACAGACAGACAGATAGACAGACAGATAGACAGACAGATAGACAGACAGATAGACAGACAGATAGACAGGCAGACAGATAGACAGACAGATAGACAGACAGACAGATCTGTCACAACTGTTGTCCAGAAACATGGAGTACAGGTTCATTGTTTACTCTCAGTTCACCACAGATTGTTGGTGTGAATGGCTGCTATTCTCTGTATGTGATCCAGGATGTATCTCCACCCATTATCAACTGACTGATAGGATTACCTCCAACTCCCCGTTAGAGGTTTGTCATCAGTTTTAGCTGTAGCTAAACTTTGAATTCTGCTGATGTTATAAGGAGTGAGTCACCTCTGGAGTTTAATATGTCACTCCTCAGCTCCTTCAGATGTGTCCTTAACTTTGAATGAAGGTGAATAATTCACAGGGAGAAACTCAGGTCCTGTCTCTAAGTTACTGTGGTATTTTCACTCCCGCTCCACAGACAGTTTTTATTTATCCACACTATGTGGCTGTGTTTTGGTTCTTCTTTTTTTTTCACGTACATCAATTATTTTGACAGCACATTGTTGGGAGGATGATTTCAGACCTTAGTTTTTTTGTTTCACCCTTGTTGCTTTTCTTCCAGTGCAGAGAAAGACTTCAAAAGAAAAGGCTGCAGCACAGTGTGTGTCACCTCTGCTGACAAACTCTACACTGTAACAGTGGTAGAATCTCATTGTCTGTTCTTGCCTCATTGGTCGCTCTGTGGCTTCGTTGGAAAGTCGCAGCGTGGAGGGAATGTTAACTTTTGAGATTCCTGAATCATTCTTGATGTGACCAGTGTAATCCGGTCTTGGCTGAAGATTTCTGAGAATAGAAACAGGTCTCTGATGTATCACTTCTGTCTCTACTGCAGATGCATGGATCACCTTAATCATGTACAGTCTAGTTGTTGCACTTTATAAACCTCAGGCAGTTATACTGTATATGGAGGACTAAAAGTGCCTACTCTCAATAAATAAATACATAATTAAATTATGAATTAAATGTGTCATGCATTAATTAAATGGTTCAGACAAGGTCGACATTAGCCCTGCCCACAATGGTTCAGACAAGGTCGACATTAGCCCCGCCCACATACAGTACTTTGATGGGTGAGCTTGACTGATAAAATTAATTCATGATGTAATGCAACACACCAACCATTTAATAATTAATTCAATAGTTAAATAATGTTTTTTTACCTTATTTTAACAAATTAATGACACGTCATAACATATTTATATATTACATTTCAATTTTAATTAATTCATGACACATTTAATTAATTATAGTACCTATTTATTTATTGTGGGCATTTTCAGTCCTCCACAGCTACAGGCTCAGCAGTGTTTTTTTACAAACACAAAAGTGCAAACCATGTCTCCCCTAGGGGGCACCAGACCACTTCAATGGAGTTGGATACACAAAAAAATGTGTGTGCGCAGGACATTTGGACACTTACAGGTGCATAAATGCAAATGTAGACAGTAACAGTAAGAAGAATGATTCTCTTACTGTAAGAAAACAGAGAAAATATCACAATTATTTTAAAGTTTGGAGTTTTTTAGACCATTTCAACTTCATTGGACATCAGTATTTTTCATTGATTTAACATTGTTGTTACAGTTACTTTTTTCAAATTTGCAACTTGAAAACTAAATAATATGATAACACAAATTACATTGATAATAATAACATTAGTATTTTCAACTTCTTTTTACTGTACTAAAGCAAGAACACATTTTTCCGCATTGGCCTTCACACACTTCACCCTACTGGAAGAAATTTCACACTCACATACCCTGTGTCAAATAAAAAACTTTATATGAGTCACATTGCTAATATAATAAGAAGAAGGAAAAAAAGAAGGTTTCTTCATGTTTCTTCAAGGTTTCTTCATGTTAAAATCTCATAAAGTTACCGTATTATCACATTATGGTAATAAATCGCATCTCGTTTCCTGTGCACAAATTATTGTCGATAACTTCACACTGAGTCACAAGCTTCCATTTTAAGACAGTGATTATAATCAAGAAGGAGATTTAACAAAAAAAATCAATTTCCCATTGTTGAACACTGTTACCATGGAAGATAACTCATTGAGATGAGATTCAAACAGCTGTAATTGGTTTGTAACGGTCTACGTGGTGCAGAAGAATCAGTCTTTCCCTGCTGTTTGCCTTCATGTCTTTCCTCCAGGCTCCATTGAGCTCAGTGGAGCAAACAAAACAATAAAAGTGACTGAAGGGGTTTTTAAGGATCAACATGTTCTCCTGGTGTTCCCACAGCGTGAGATAATAAAAACAAGACAGCCTGGCTGTACCAGATATAGATAAATCATGTCATGTCGAGGAGGAGTTGGTCGGAGTGTTTACCCATACAGCTTTACGGTATTTTTAGTTCACATTGTTACTGTGTTTTAGGGAGAATTATTTGCTGCAGTCGGGGAGGTTCTGTTTTCACTGCCGTCTGTCTGTTTTCATGCCTCTCGGCTAGATTACTCTGCGACTCTGCGGAGGAGTGGCGCACGACTTTAGAAGCGGTCCACTAAAAATATTTGTTTTTAGAGCCGCTCCTGATAAGTGGACAGACCTATTTGCTGCAAGTGAGGCACAGCTTTCATTTTGGCAGAGGCTTTGATCCTGGAGGATCCTTCCAATTTGTCCTGCTGCCAAATTCATTCAAGTCCAGCTTTCAAAATAAATTGTTGCAGAGCTCTTGTACCAATATTTTGAGCAGGTAAAAAGTGAAGTGCACTGGCTAGGGATAAGGCATGTTCCATACTTTTGTTTTATGATAGGTTGGACTGCATTTGCATTTAACTACTGAGCTACAAAATGAGACATTTGTCATACAATGAGGTTTTTTTGTTTAGTTCTTAAAACACGGACATTCTTTTTCCATCTCAAATGTCAGTATGTTTTATAAGCACATGTTGGGACAGAAGTTTGTACACAGCTTTTTGGTGTGTTTTTCATCAGTATATGTGACAGATACACTGCAAAAGATGACTGGCTCATTCATCAGGCCTTTTAATGTTTGCTGCTCCACCAAACGTGTCTGTATCACAGTTTATCAAACAGTGCCATAGGCATGAGCTGATGTGATGTCAGCAGACTCCACGGGGTTTCAGTGTAATGTGAAATAACCTTCAGTCATTTGTGCTGCAGGTAACAGGAGCTGAGAGCAAATCCAATCTCTCTGCTCTCATTAGCCTCATTCAGGAGCCATATGCAGTGTTTTCTTATTCTGCTGGGTCAGTTAACCTCACGGGTTGTTAGCATATGGCAAACACAGTGAATCATTCGTCAGCTAAAGGGCCAGAAATTACCCTCAGGAGGGTAAATATTATACACTATACAGCAAAACATCAAATTGATATTTTTATTGCTTTGTTCTTTTGTATTTATAAATAATAGTCATTGATCTAAAAAGTCATCTTCAAACACTTTTTAATGTTTCATTTGTGGCTTTTTTTTTTTTTGCTGCCTCTGTACGACTAGGCCAGACGTTTTCACAGTGTCTGCACTTATGAGTGCACACATGCAGCGCAGTAATTGTTCTCCAGGAACCATAGGATACAGCTGAATGTCTGGGTCTGAAAACAACTGCCTCACAAGAGCAGTACTGATTTAAACAGCAAGATAGACAATGATCAGAATTCATTTTGTGCTTTGAGATTAAATATCCTTTTTTATTAAAAAAAAGTAGGGGTTCATTACAGCTCAATAACTTTTATTTAGTATCACTAGTCAGTGTTGAATCTTTTTAACTCTTCATTTTAAGAGGAACATTGTCTCCGAAAAAAGGTCCCTCTAAATGTGTTATGCAGTGCAGGAAAATACAGTACATTGTAAGTAAATTTAGTTAAATAAATCCAGAGGTGGGTAGTAACGAATTACACTTACATCGTTACATTTACTTGAGTAGGTTTTTCAAAATAAAGTACTTGTATGAGTAGTTTTAAATCATTATACTTTTTACTTTTACTGGAGTAGATTTATGAAAAAAAACAGTACTCTTACTCCGCTACATTAGGCTATACTGAGCTCGTTACTCGTTACAGAGATACTGGATAAAGCTTTAACTATATTCTCTATAGATCCATGATCCAGTATCTCTACTTTTATTTTGTCAGAGAGTGACTTCCGCCCAAGGCTCTACCGCGCGACTGTGACCAATGAAATGTAGCCCTTGCTGCGCGGTCTCGTCACGTGACCATACTCGATCTCGGTGGCGGGACGGATAAGTTTCGCGGTCAATATCCACCACAGCAGAAAATGGCGGAATCAACGGTCAACAATGCTGACAAAGACAACGAGGTACACCTGTGGCCTCGTATTGAAAGTACGTTTACGTAACAAACAGTGCGAAACAGCAGTTTCATCGTGCGGTGTCTTCTGTGTCGGCCCAAACAGACGGATATTTCAGCTTTCAAAAGCTCATCGTCCAATCTGAGGAAACATGTTGCGGTAAGTTTGACCAACAAATGTTTTTTTCCTTTTTGCTGTGGATAGGCGAATGTTTGTCCTGTTAGTTTTGTCCCTGTTACATGAGTGCTCTGTGCTGAGCTCGATCTGCTTGTAGCCTCAAAGACGTGTTTTATCCACAGGTCCAGAGCTTTGGTTTTGTTACTCGGCCTGTAATTTAGGTTATTTCGTAAATATTCAATTCTTTATGTACTCGTTGATGGGATAAACTCTCCGCTGTAATTTTGTTTATCTGATTGAATGCAAGATTTTCTTTTGGCCTTTTATAGCCTCCTGCTGCCCCCCAGTGAAAGAGCAGTTAATTGTTCTACCTGTCACATTGGCACAGAAAAACAAAGACAGATTAACATTATGTTTTTGTAATTAAAACTGAAATAGACCTTTTCTGGTTTATCTTTTTGTCCAATTTTTGTAATGCAAGATCTAATCTTCGGTGGCAGTTTGTGCAGCAACAGGTGAATGACCTTTTACACTTAGCTTTTGGCAGCAGACATGGCAGGCATGTGGACCAAAAATAAGAGTTTTGTTGTGGGGATTCAATTCCACCTCAGTCCTGCTCCCAGGGTCTCCAGGGATTATTAGACCATGATTCATGCCAAACCAGCTTTAAACCTGTGGCTCAGAAAGGTCAGTAACATCCTGAAACCAGCAGGGCCACAGGTCATCTGAGGTGATGAATGCTTTTTATCACTAGATCAAGGTGTCTTTGATCTGTATGGGCTAAGATTGGTGGAACACATCATGTGATATTGTGCAACAGTAAAATCATGATGAGCATGGATTTTTACATTTGAAACTATCTTATCTATAGTGGATACAATGTAAGGCTCAATTTGTATTTATTATTGTTGTTTACTGATGACTTTAATGGGTATGTCATAATAATGGTTCTGGAAGGGGAACAGGTTGAGCCACAGCTAGAGACCATAGAACTATTGAAAGCGGATCAGTAGGAATTCACAATGAAATTAAGATTTTTTTTTTCTTTTTTGGGCCAACAGTTGAAGAACTTAATTGAAGATTCTTAATTTTATTTCCTTTGATCAATAAGAATAACAGAGAGATTTTAATCAGAATTGCAGTATTTTAATTTAAGTTCATTTTTGAAGTAATGGTTGTGGATGAGGTGAACATGGGCCCTCATGGTGTGGAAGTAGTAAAGTAGAAAATATCTTCATGTACTGTAGATGTTGGTAAAATCACATGTAGCTCCCACATGAGCCCTGTAGGGGGTGCTTTAAATACAGGCAAATGCCTGCTAACTTGGTCAGAACCTTTTCCACAAACATGACCAGTGCCTTTAGCAGTCAATCACTGCTGGACAAGCTCCAGTAGATTTTCCTTTGCTGAGTAGTATGGTGCTGTACACCACCAACAACGTTGCAGGAAAAAAGCCCTATTTTAATACATTTTACTTTTACGGCTGCACTTTTCTAAATAAGTTATACAACTGTATGTAGGCCTTTCAGAGAAGTATTCTTTTCCTGCACGTTAACCCTTAACTCTACAGACCTTTTATGGTTTTGTTCGATGTACAACAGTGTGAGAAAAGAGTCATTGCACACAGGATGCAGGCTGGGCTATTTTTTATAACCACACAGTAGCGACAGTTTGGTACAGACGTGTATAACAACAATAACTGCAGTTCTGTGCTGTAACGCAACAGAAGTGAGTGACAAGTCTTTTTTTTATGTTCGCACTAAGGCAGACAGCTTGCACAGAGAAAACAATACCCCCCCCCAAACAGCAGCAAAATGAACAAAAGAGGTAGTTTCCTAACAAAATAAATTAGAAATAATAAAAATCGCATTATGTGTATAATAAAAGTA